TGCATGGAGAGGACCTAAACCCTGGACTCAGATGAAGACCATAGACTCAGTCTCCAAGTGGAGTCCCCAGGGACTCGCTTTGACATGAACTCAGTGGCAGGGTCTCTGATCACCTCCTCCTGGGGTGGGGTGTAGCCTTGCCAGTTCACAGAGGAAGACAATGCAGCCAGTTCTGGTGAGACCTGATAGGCTAGGGTCAGAGGGAAGGGGAGGAAGGTCCTCCCCTATCAGTGGACTAAGGGACGGGCATAAGGGGAGAAGAGGGAGAGAGGGTGGGATTAGAAGGAGACGAGGGAGGGGGCCACAGCAGGGATAAAAATTGAATAAATTGTAATTAATGATAATTTAAAAAAGGAAAAAGAAAATTACAAATTTGCTTTGGAATTGGATTGATCAATACTCCAAAAGGTTATTCCAGAAAAAAATTCTCTGCAGGATTGAGATAGCAACTGGTGCGTTGGCCACATGCCTTTTTTTCCTCTAGCCACCATCATGGTCATGTGATGAATTATACCCAATGCAACCACCCGGTAGTGATATCACAATACCCCTCATATCTCCAAAGCTCTTACACAGAAAGCACGGAGGGACAAACAAGGGCACCTCCTGTCTGTACTGCTCAGTGTCCTCTTCTAAGAGGCAGGGCCACCTCTTCTGTTCTGAGTGATTATGTTAAAGCAGATTATGTTAAAGCAGATCATTCTGTGAAGCATGAACTTGGACATGAAACTTGGCAGTTACTTCATAAAGTTGGTTTTGGGGTGGCCTCTGAGCAAATCCTGCACCCTGAGAGCTGCTGGTGGGTATGAGATTATAGGACTGAGCAATCCCAATTCCTTCTAAACCGCTTGTGTAGACAATAACTCATCACTGAATGGAAAATGGGCATAAGAAAAAAAAAAAAGAAAAAGAAAAGTGTCATCATTACCCAGGACAGTACTGAGGTGTGTTAACTGTCACAGCAGTTAATACAGTGGTGGGCTTCAGCTATTGTAGCTGAATGCTTGTAACTGAAGTCCCCCTACCCTCCTAGTGTGATGACATTTGAGATGAGGCCTTTGCAGGTGAGTAGGGCTAGGTGGGCTCCTCATGTTGGGATTACCGACATAAAAGAAGAGAAAGAAGCCATGTCTAAAATCATGCCCAGCACTCTGGGAGGCAGAGGCAGGCTGATCTCTATGAGGTCGAGGCCAGCCTCGTCTACAAAGTGAGTCCAGGACAGCCAAAGCTACACAGAGAAACCCTGTCTCAAAGACAGAGACAGAGACAGAGACAGAGACACAGAGCATTCTTTTCCTCTGTGGGTGAGCGCAGAGTTCAGATCATGTGAGGCCATAGAGCAAAGGCAGCCATCTGCAAGCTGGGAAGACAGTTTCACTAGGAACTGAGACTACTCTTTGCCCTTGGATTTGCAAGTACCCAGAGCTTTGAGGAAGACTTGTGCATTGTTTGCCATGCTCACAGCTGGCGTTATAGAGGCTCAAGTGCTCCACCACACATTGTGTGTAGCTTCCGTCCTTCCTACCACCAAGTCTCCTCTGGGTCCCACAGCAACCCTCCAGCCTGGTGTTGTGATTGGAGGCCTGGCCCCGTGGGGCTTCTGAAGCTCCCTCCAGCCCTGCTGACACCGGCCTCTCATGTGGGTAGGCAGTGTTGCCCCTTGGGACAGATTTTGCAAACCACCAGAGGTGAATTAAAACACAGCCACTCAATTGCTTTACCATTTCCCTATTGACAGATGAGGACTGTGTCTCGCTTCCTCGAAGCTGGGTGCCATGTGATGTCTTTGATCAACAGGGACTAGAGAAAATGATGACGTCTGACCCACAGAGGACAAGACAGTTTCTTGCTTGCCCATTGAGTAACTATGGTGACTTAAGCTACCAAAGAAGCACTCTGCCACCCTGAGGCTACCATGCCGGAAGTCTGTGTGTAAGAGCTCCCGGGCACAGTGGAGTGCAGCCTTCCAGTTATTTCACCAGACAACCAACATGGGCACAGAAGTTCCTAGTCTTCTGCCCTAGTCATCCCAAAACCTTTAGCTTTTCTCTGTGACATCTCCAGACATTTTGGAGTAGAGATAGGACATTGTCACTGGTCCCCGGCGATGCAATCTGTGATCATGAGAAAATGATGGTTGTATACCTCTGGTCCAGGGTTGCTTGATACACAGCCAATTGTAATCAAGATCTTACCTGCACTGACAGATAAGGAAAATAAACATTCACAGAAAGTGACTAGGCCCAAGACATGGAGCCAGCATGGCAGAGACAGAGTCCACCCCATGCTGAGTCCTGCTTTTCCTATCCTGATCTCTCACTTCAGGAAGTGCCTTTACCCTTGGGACACACTTCGGAGTTTGTAAACTCCTGTTCAGAGGCCATGGCTAAAATCAGGATCCAGGAGGCACAGTTGAAAGGACTGCAGAAATTTAGCTTGGGTATCACTCTTTTTTAACTTTTTTTATAACGTTTTATCGATTCTTTGTGAGTTTCACAGCATGCACCTCAGACCCACTCATCTCCCTGCCCCCTCATATCTGCTTTTCATCTTTGCAACCTACCCGCCACAATAAAACACACACACACAAACAACAACAATAACAACAAAAACCCAAAGCAGAGAAAACATCTCATGGTGGAAGCTGTAGTGTGTCCCAGTGTGCCCCACAGTACAGCACTCTGCCCACATGTCTTCACTTTCGAATGTTCATTGCAATGAGTCTGGTTTGAGATCTCTGGCTTCTGTGACACCACCAATGTTAGATCCTCATTGGGTCTCCTCCTGGTTATTGCCTGGTGTCATGGAGATCCTGCAGCTTTGGATCTGCAGGACTGGCCCTGTCATACTCTCAGAGTTCAGAGATGGAGTAGATTTTGGGGTAGGCCAACTCAAAGCCCTGGAACTGGGCCTGGATGGTAGCTGAGTTGGTTAGCCTGTCAGCTCTTCTGTACCCGCACCATCAGGACAAGCTCTCTACCACTGCTCTGGCTCGGCCGCCCAGTGCCGCCATCAGCAGGACACATGATGAGCCCTTCTGCTCTCATGCCCTCAGGGCTGGCTCACCTGCACCCACACCTCCAGAGTCATCTCCACTGTGCTGCCCAGTTAAGGCGAAGGGTCCATTCTCCCAAGTGCTGCAACCTGCAAGGGCGGGGCCAGCTCTTCTTCTCTCACATCCTCAGGGCTGGCTTACCTGTGTCTTCACCATGGCGGCTAGTTCCACTGTGTTTTGGGAATATCTCTTAATGGAATATGTAGCCTGCTTCTGATAAGCCATTGTTGGGAAAGGATAAACGTTTTTTTTCTCTTGACGGAGTATGGAAAGCAGTGAGTACAATGGTGCACCCTGATCGCACAGACTTTGACTTACTTGGGAAGGGCTCTACAGACATACTAACAGGAAAAAGACAGGGCCACCCAAGAAACCAATAAATTCTCATCTTTGGAAGCTGCCAACCCTACCCTATATATACCAAGTTCAGGAGGGTCACCCCTGGGTGCATGAATGCCACAGAATACAGGAAAAGCTGCAGGTTGGAATAGGACCAACTAAATGTAAAGACCCATCTAGCAAGTTTGATCACTGGGAGGAGAATGGAAAGTACCATCATTTAGAAGCTCTGTCTCCAGGGCAACATTGGATACATGTCACTCCAATCATTCCCTAGGGAAATGCCCACAGGTTCGAGCCCTGTTCCTCAGAGCTGGGCCAATGGTTCATGGAGTAAAGTGCTCATGGTGTAAGCATGAGGACTTGAGCTGAGATCCCCTCCTCACTGGGGAATGGGGACAAGCAGATTCCAGGAGCTCACCTGTCAGTAAACTTAATGGAAACAGCGAACTCCGGGTTCGCTGAGAGACTCTGCCTCAAAAGTTAAAGTGGAGAGCAGGCATGGTAGCTCATGCCTTTAATCCCAGTAGGCAAATTCTGAGTTCGAGGACAGCCTGTTCTGCAGAGCTAGTTCCAGGACAGCCAGGACTACACAGAGAAACCATGTCTCAAAAAACAAAAAGACAACAAAACAGTAGAAACAAAATTAAGGTTGAGAAGAAATGGAAGATGACAGTTTGATATCAACCTCTGGCCTCCGCAGTCGGTAAGCATGCCATCCACCCCAGTTCGCATGCACAAATCCACAGACACGTTTTGAAAGTACAAATGTTTATGATTCTGAAAGCCCAATGAATATTAGGAGGAGTTCTCTCAGCTTCTTCGGGCCTGGGGACTGCAGGAAGAAGACAGGATTCATGCTCGGGGTTGGGTGCCTTTCTGATCTGCAAGCTTCACCGTGGAGGGAATGAGAGGCTGATTTGGCCAGGGACTGGACAAGCCTGCGTCTCTCAGGCCACAGTGTATTTGGGTCAGGACAGGGATTTGTAATCTAATCCAATTATTGTCATTAGTATGGCGTAAGAATGCTCTTCCACCTGCAGTCTAACAATTTCCAGTAAACGAGTGTTACAGACATCTCCAATGGCGGAGGTATGTGACCCTTCTTCGGTTCCCATGCCTGTGTCTTCAGAGCAGTGCTCTCCCACACTCTCCCCGGCTGCCTGGTAATGAAGCTAAGACACCTGCTAGGAAGCTGTGGTCCTTGGTTCCTCCTCCAAGGACCCTGACTCAGTAGATGAGTCAGAGCCAAGGCATCTGTGTGACCTGAGCCCAGGAGGTTTTGTGGGAGGAAGGAATGACCCACAGCTCCTGCAGGCTCCTTCATAGTGATGTTAGTCAGAGGTACCGCTAGGGTGGGCGGTGTGCATGTACCTAGAAATGACCCAGGGGAGAGGTGGAAAGAGAAACCCAGGCTGATCTCACCAGGGGTCAGAAGCATTGGGTGAGAGGCACCAGGAACTGGGAGACAGAAGACTAAAAGCCCGATGAGGTGATCCCCTACCCTACCCCCACCCCACCCGCGGTTAGGGCTGAAGCCGCACAGCCTATGCTCACACTTCTTGCCCTTGGGTGTATATATATATATATATATATATCTTATTAGACATCTTCAGGGGTCAGCGCCCACAAGGTTCAGCAGGGCATTCTTGTAGTCACCACTGGTGTCACCCTGGAGGAAGGAGACACATGGGTTAGAAGGGAGGGTGGTGCTTACGATGTTAGCCTTTTTCTTCTGTTACCATTACTAAGAGTTGTGCTCCCTGGGTGGGGTCTGCCCTTTCAAGCGTTTCTATGCCACAGTTCTATGTGATGTCATTGCTCTTTCTTCTCCATTTCAGACTATTCCTTTCATTCTTCTTTGAATTCTCTGTCCAGTTAGATGGGGAGGTGGTTGTGGGAAATGAATCACAGAGACAGATCTACTCTTAAGCTCTTAGACAAGAAAGGCTTGTGGGTGGTTTCCTTATACAGTCAACTGCCTCAGGGTTCTTCCTCAGGTTTCTCTCAAGACCCAGTAGTACAGAGCCTTTCACTTGGCCGGCACCATCCATACGTGGGAGCCAAGGCTGAGAGCAAGGAGCCTGCATTCACGTCTAGGCATGGAGCAGGGGCCAGACCAAGCTTGGGCTTGGATCACACAGGCCTGGGCCAGGGCTCTGCCAACACGCACAGACTCTCCTTTAACCTCTGTGAGACATGTCCTCTCATCTATAAAATGCCATCTGTGATGAAATGCACCTTGTGGGTGACCTAGCAGCAGCCCAGGCTGGCTTGTGCTTAGTCACCCATAACCTGACCAAGTTGGTTGTGAAGTCTAAAACACAACAAACAGTAATTCCAACTCCTCTGTCTTACTGCCTGCTTTCCTGATGCCATCCCGCCCAGAACATCTTAAAGCAGTGTTTAAAAAATAAGCAGTTGTCCCTCAGACTCCATGGGGGAATGATTCTAGGCCCTCACTAATACTAAACTATATATGCTCAAGTTCCTGATATCAAATGCTGCTGGTCTTGGATATAACCTATGCACATCCTCCTACATATTAAACAATCTCTAGATTATTCATAATATCTAATGCAATGTAAAAAGTATGCAAGTAGCCATACCATATTGTTCAGGGAAGAATGACAAAAAAAGTATGTGTGTGTTCAGTACAGTTGCGTTTTTTTTTCTTTTTTCTTTTTTTCCTGAATGTTTTGGTTCTTGGTTGTCTGAACCAGCAAATGTAGAGGGCCAGTTATATTGTAAACTGTGAGTTGCCTATCAAACGCAGTCAACAGTCTACCCTGGTAGAAGAACTAGCCACTTGACTGAGTAGCTCAGGAAGACTTAGGGATATGCTTGCTATGATCTGACGTCTGGTAATGAAATTGTTTAGGCCTCCATTTGCATTAGTTTGTAGACAGGCTGTTTGTCTCAGCCAAGCAGAGCACCATCCCTCTGGTTCCTCTGCACTAAACACCCTGGGACTTGTACTGACTGGACTGTAGGCAGGCAATCCACTGGAGCCTAATTTTCCCTACTACTTAGATCTGGATTGAAAAGGAACCCTGATTTCTGTGAAACTACTTATTCTCATTGCCTCTTCAGTAATGGTTCCCTTTGCAAGGCGTTGGTAGACTATGAAGGGATGTTCCACAGCTCAAATGCAAAGCCACCTTCCGGGGCAAGGGCGACCCTCTGTGCTTCTCTAGTCTCCCTGCCCTGACACACTCAGGGTTACACTTCTTTCCTTCTTGGTCCCTGAATGTGCCTCATGGTAATGGTGCAAGTGGGAGATGCCCACTGGGAAGAGACATGAGTCACAACGTTCCACGTCTCAGGAGCGACTGTGTCACAAGTTGGCAGGGAAGTTGGGAACCCATGTCTTACCATGATCATGCTACTGAGGGTCTTGCCATACATCTTCTGAAACTGGCACTTGATAAGATTTAAATCAATCTCACTCCTTGAAACAATGTTCCTTATCAGCGTCCCATCACGTGTCCCTGCTCCCTGGATGAGAGAGTGACAATCAGCCTCATGTTTCACATTTTCTATCTACCTCTGTGGTGATGGACAAACCTTTGTAGGGACTTAGAAAGAGCTAAGAGCAGGGATGGGCCTATTATTCAGTGGGGAGAACACCAAGGGAGACTTTGGTGACACAGTTTTTTTCTTTTTTTTTCTTTTCTTTGGTGGTACTAGGATTGAAACCAAGAACCTCTGCACACTAGGCAAGTTCCTTAGCATGGAGCTGCGTCCACAGCCCATGGCAAAGGGCTTCTCTTCCTCAGTCTCCACACTCACTGGCAGTGCCTTTTCTCCTTCGAAGCTCAAGGCCTAGAGTTGCAGTATGCCTTTGCTTTACTGCATCAGGTTCTAGTCACCGAACACACTGCTCCAGGAAGATTTTTTTTTTCTTTGAGCAATATCACTGTAATGTTCCTCAACTGGCCATTTCAGGAGCAGGGTCTTCGGCTCTTTCTCTCTGTGTCTTATCCCTGACTAGTCTTGAGTCTAGTCTTGAGTCACATGGAGCTTCATGATCAAGGAAATAATAACACACCCTCTCCCTCATGGGGAAGATATGCTCAGAGGACTTTGGGTAGATGCTATGACTTTCATTTTTGGTGGTGCCAGTGTCATGTACTAGAGAAGCGAGGCATTGACATTAGTCCATGAGAATTAATGTCTCTCTTCCAGTTTAGTTCCAGATACCAACAACTCTGCTTGTGAAGAGCAGTGTGGACCATATGTTTTTGTGACCAGGGCAGCCTTGTAGGCAAGTTAGCACATGTACATGGGGAGACAAACTGACAGGCCAAATGTGTCAGTGTCCCCAAAGTCTGTCCACATCAAAGGTGTTGGAGTTCCAGCCATCCTGCCTTTGGTTCTCATAGAGGAGGTATGATACAATAAAGTGCCCAAGCTGATAGGCCTGAGATCAGTGATTGGCTCTACCACCTAGCAGCTGTGTGACCTCGACAAGCCTTCGTTTCACCACCCTTCAGGGGGCAATGATGATATGGACAACCTTGCATGTTGTCAAGGTTCAGGGAGCCTTCAGTGAACACCTGTCAATGCACCCGGGCAGACGTACCTTCAGGGGGTGTGGCCTCCCTTCCGTAGGTTTAGTTTGCCCCTGAGAATGCAAACCTTTCAGATGCATGAGAGAAGAGAACAAGAGGGAGCCTGGAGTTCAGACAGCAGTGGCTCTGAGTACCTGGTTGTGCATCTGGCATCCTATAAAGCTGACTAGAAAGGGGGCAGCAGCCAGGACAGTTACCTTCATGGCGTAGTAGAGTCTCTCTGCAAAGTAGCTGTGGACATTCCGGGTGCATTTCACTGGCAAACAGAAAAACTCTGTGAATTGTAGGAGGGCATAGGTGGCATTGCAGACACTTGTGTTTGTGTATGTGTTCCTGTGGGTGTTATGAGTTCGTGGTGTGTAAGGCTTGGCATGTTTCTTTGTGCACCACCTACCTTCAAAATGAAGGCTTTGTGTGGGGCAGAGAGAGCGGGGCAAGGAGCAGAGGCTGGGGCAGCAGCCACAGCCTCAAAAGCCCAGAGCAGTCAGGCAAAAGGGTAAGATGTGAAATGGACCGGGCACCTGTGGGGCTCATCTGGAGTCACCAAGTCGGGTGTGCTAGAGGACATCCCTAAGCTGTCGTACCCAGGAAGCATTTGCCTACTCAGTTCTGCATAGGTTGCCACAGAATGGTGGCTATGGGCCTCATTTTGGATTTTTATCTAATTGAAAGAAGCTTGGCTTTGAGGACAAAAGCACTGGAGGGTGAACCCCAAATTTTCTTTTTCATAGATGTATCTTTGATGAACTGTGGCGTCCGCATCAAAAGATGGTATTTTAACCCAAGGCTGCGAGAGTGTAGGCTTTGTGGGATGTAGGAATGTGATAAACTGTCTTGATACTGTATGACTCTGTTATTCAGCCTTCTATGACTGAGGCTTTAAGAATCACAGTAGGGAATGAACTGCAAACCTTTGCTGATTAGGAGGCATTTTTATTTAGGGTCTATGGGTCAAATTCTAGGTGACAGCAGAGGGTGTGTTTAGCTGTTGCAACACAGAATGAACTGAATGAGCTTCACTACAGTCCTCATAGCTAGCCTGCAGACCTCAAGTGTTAATAGCTACTGGCAACATAAGGACAGAGGGAAGAGATCTTGACTACTGCCTGCAAGCCTGGGGTAGAGGTAAGAGCCTGGCTAGGACCCCTAATTTCAGCTCCATTGTGTAAGGTGGTATACGGTCGTCCTCCTGCCTGGCTTAGGTCCTTGCTTTACCGGAACTCCTCCCATATAATTTCAGCTTTAGACCAGAGATGTGCTATAAACGGGTTACTGTGCTCAGACTCAGTCTTCTGATGCAGGAAGAAATTGTCCATGTTTCTCTTGGTTAGGACTCAAAGCCACACACCTTCATTTCTTCAGTTAGCGACTAAGGTGGGGCCTTGGTACCTGCATTAGGTCCGGAAAGGTGGCTTTGAGCTGGGCTATAGGAGCAGAAGCAGAATGCTTTCTGAGTAGTATCTGGGGGCAGGCCTAGGCCCTGGACCTAGGGTCACTGTGTCAACACTCGTGTGGACGCGGACACTCACACGCAAACACACACTCATGCAACATGGGAGGTTGTAAAGATACCACAAAGACTAGTTCCCGGCAGGCCATCTGAGACTTTCGAGGTATTGTGATCTCAGGGACCTGGGCTGAGGGTAAGGGTTGAGAACACGGGGGTGGGGGTGGGGGATGTCCTTTGAATATAGAGTTCCAGTCTCTTGCTACCACTTTCCCAGACTGTGGATGCAAACGTGCCAAGAGCTGAGCCCCCTTCTTACCCACGGTGAGCATAGCCTCCTCCAGTGAACCATGGGTCTCACTCTTGATGCTATCCTCAATGCTTTTGTTGGCAATTTTTTCATATTCTTCGAACACTGTAGAGAGAAAGATCCATGCAAAGGACACATAGATTACACACTGCACACCAGTGTGTCATGTTGCCTTCCTTTTGGCACAGGGGGAGGAGTCCAGGTTTCCATGGCCAAGTCTAAGCCACATAAGACTACCCGTCAGATCTTCCACACAGAAGGAGAGGCCATGTGGACAGCCATGCACCCTGCATCCCCCTCCTCTGCCCCGTACCTCTCATCAGGTGAGTAGCACTGCGTGTGCACAGGATGGTGATGAATTTCATCTCATCAGTCCCACGAATCTTCTCCCCTGCTGCATACAGATCCTAGGATTGGGACACAAGGATGTGAGGGAGAACTCCGTCACCCCAGAGGTGCGGCTGCCAGCCAGCCTCCATCCATTTGGACAGCCCAGCATGGCAGCTCACTGTTCTGAGCTCTGTTCCTCCAATAATGTTAGCTCAAGGCTCTTCTCTGGGCCATAAGCTCCTTTAGGTAATTCTCCTTTCCTCATTGTCCCTGGGAGCACCAAGTGACAAGCACTCTACCAATAGATGCACGGAGAACTTCATATGAATGAGCTCTGGGCTCAGAGAGGCTGGCTCTGCCTCCCTTCCCCAGCCTCTCCTTTTTTTTTTTTTTTTCATTTGCTGAATTTCCCAGATACCTCGCTTTTCTCCTTAGTTACCACACGGTGGAGATGGGGGTAGGGTCTATATCAAAGAACGATCCCTTGGCTCAGAGTTCGGTTGGCAAGGTCAGGGTACAGTTTCACCTGTGCATCTTGGAGGGCCAGTCCTGGGTCCACAAAGCCGCTTATGTCATCTCTGCTGCCCTAGGATCAGAGGAAATCACTCCGTAAGGTGGGTGATAAATCAGAACACCTGGGCTGAGGGGACAGTGGGGTTCAAAGGGCAGGTAGGGAAGGACTGTTGCTTCTTGGCCATGAGACCTGCAAGCCAGCCATCCCCTCCAAGGCTTGCTGTTGGCATTTGTACCATGAGAGTACTTGAGCTGCTTCACTGGAATGACAGATGCAGTGAGCTAAGCTAATGAGCAGAGCCTGGCATAGGGCCACCCCAAGGCTGAGGAAAGAGCAACATGAGGCTCTGGAGCAAGGACAGGGCTATTGGGCTGAGACACACATCGTGCCCAGACTGCTGGGTTTCCCTACAGCCTAGTCCTCCTTCAGAGGCATCACTCAAGGGCTGCTGCTGGGGTGGATCTCAAAGCCACAGAGTCCTTGATCCCAGGTTGTGTCACCTGCAGGAGGCACACCAGAATCCGCTCCAGATAGCCACTTGTGTCTGCTTGGATGTCCTCTTCCAGGGTAGACCCATAGTCTGCAGGAAAACAGAACCAGAAGGCATGGTCAGCAAGCGGCCCAGGACCTGTCAGGGCCCATTTTTCTCCTCCACACCTGCTTCCTCCACTTCTTCCCACGGGAGGACAAGTTCTTGGCTCAGAAGGTATAAACAGAACATTTAGATGTCCTAGTGGCAGAGACCTATCTAGGCAGTCATTCAGACCCCAGAATGACAAAAATGTGCAACCAAGATAAAAGAAGAAATAGACCAGGCCAGGGAGCCAGACCAGGGCCTGCCAATAGAGGTCCTCTTATTGCCAGGCTCAGCAAAGCCAGAGCCTCCAGACTACCCTGAGCAGATGCACAGCATGGAGGACTAGTTGGCCTTTGCTTGAATACATGAGAAAGTCGGCCAGTGGGGCTCCCCTAGCACAGTAGGGCCCTAGCGGACGACTCTCTCCAGTGTCTGTGTCAGCCCACATAGAGCCAACAAGTACTGTCATGTCTACTGCATCTCTGTTCCCCAGGATTGCCCTAGCATTAAGGGACATGAGCTTAGCTGGGCACACATCTCTATCCCCATGTCTGAGCTCAATCAGGGCTGGGCACAGGATTTGGCATATAGGCACTTGGTGGACCTGTATGAAAAGACCTTCCAAAGGGTTCTTTCCAGTAAGGCCTAATTCCCTTGGGAACTGTCTGACTCTTATTCCCTGTCAGGTTGCCAAAATTTAGGCCATTTCTAGGTTTTCCCCACCACCACCTTTGCAACCCCCTTACCTTCCTCATATGCCTTCATTATCTCTCTTAGCTGGTTCTTGGTCCGAGAAGCCAGGATCTCAATGATGACCCCTTCCTTGGTTCCTAAGCCCTGGGGACAGAAACCTCTATGTTCTGGAGTGCTCTGCCCTTGGTCTCCTAGCTCTGCCTGCACTGTCTTCTCAGAAGGTTTGGCCGAAGCTCCACCCTCTTCTTTACTCTATGTTGGGGCAACACTGAACCCCCGCCATTGTTTCTTGTGACAGCTACTGGGGGGCAAGCCACCTCAGCTCTCCTTCTTTAGCGGGGTGGTGGCACACAGGCGGCTCCGCCTTCCCACCCTGAAGTATACTCATCTGTCAATGAGGGTAATGAGCCAATCCTACCCTGAAGGTGGGACTAGAGATCACGGATGTAAAATGCCGGGCACAGACTACAGTAAGTACCCTTTCAGTGGAAATAATTGTGGCTTCTGGGTCTCCAGTGCCACCTAATCTGTGAAAGTAACAGGAGTGATGAGAAGTAAGGGGTGGCCAAGGGGCAGTGCTCAGGCTGCAGAGATGGCTTTCTGATTCCCCTGAACTTCTCCTGGCCTAACCCTACTCTATGATCTAGGCCTTCACTGTGGCTGGTCAGCCTCCATGTTGGAGGCTGTCTGAACAGGCTGCAAGCTCATTAGGTCAGACGGGGCCCAGGTGGCCATTGTAATTTAAAGCAAAGTGGAGTACCTTCATGGCATCATGCAGCTCCTTGGCCTCATATCTGTATGGTGGGTACATGAGGGCCACGATGAGTCTCTCAAACTTGCCACTCAGCTCTGACTTTAAGGTCTCAGTGAGGTCCTAAGATAGACAAAAAGAAAGGGGAGATGATTTATCCTCTGAGCCCACCCGAGTGCAGGTGAGGCCTGGCCCGGGGCTCCTTCCTCCTTCTCACGTGGACTCTGTTATGTTGCTGTGGTCTCTTGGGCTAGGTCTTTAGCTTCTCTAAGCACCAGCATCTGTACCTGTTAAGTAGGGATAATGGAACTTCTGCTTACGGGGTGACAGAGATGTGTGACAGCTCAGCACACAGTCCAGTACTGGGTACATTCTGAACTCAAGAAAACAGAAATACCACTGCTTTTAAAACTGCAAGATCTGAGGGTAGTAACACCACGCTTAAGTTATCATTAAATGAGAAGGGAGAGAAGAAGGAAAGAAAGATTCCAAGATTCCACCTCACACTCCTCTCTTCCTAAGGGCATAGGTGTCTACAAGAAGCCACACCCAGCTGATCTGTCCAGGGCTCTGTCAGACCTGACGCTTAGAGGCTCTGGAAGCTTAAGACATTACCCAACCTCTCTGATGCTGAACACAGAGAATAATGTGTAGCTTGGAGGGGTAAGGCAAAGGAGTGGCAAATGTGTGATTTCACTCGGGGATACTTGCACTTCATCACTGACGCTTTTGTGTTAAAACTGTGAGCAGGCACTCGTGTTTATGCACAAACTTCTGGCATCACCATGTGCATCCAAATTCCTGGCTCTATGCTCAGGGCAATGAGTAGCTAGATGGCTCTTAGAGTACCCAATGGCAGGAGAGGAACATGGCAGGAACTTGACCATGAGAAGTGCCTGGGTACACACTGCCAGGGAGCAGGGGAGAGGAAAGTCAGTTCAGGAAGTGGGACAGACACAGCTGGAGAGAGCTCAGGTTGGATCCTGGGGCACAACTGAGGATGGGAGAGAGAGAGAGAAAGAGAGAGAGAGAGAGAGAGAGAGAGAGAGAGAGAGAGAACGGGGAAGAAGTGGGCCCCAGCAAAGAAAGGCCAATGCCAGGCCAGGGTTGGGGAGCTACATATGGCTCTGCTAGATAAAACAGAATAGCCGGGCAAACTTTACTACAGACCAATGGGAGGGTCGTTTTAATGCAATGTCCCCTATGCCCGTGTTTCCACCCTAGGAGGAGCTGCCCTGTCTTCATCACCCACCTGCTTACCTTTCCAAATTGAGCCTTGAAGGATTTGGCAATCTGCTGCCTCTGTGCGTTGCTCCTCTTGGTGAGCACATCTATGATGGCCTGTTCATTGGTTCCTGAAAGGGTGTACAGTCTGAGAACCCCCTCTGCCTCTGGGGGCATCAGAAAAGACTGCAGAGGGGTACCCGAAAAACCTCAAATGCCTGATGTCCACAAAACATCAATGTAAACAAGACACCCAGGTGGCTTACTTCTTGGTTCCCCACCTTGCACAGTGGTAGGGCATGGCTCAGGCTTAACCTCATAGCATAGAAACCAAGGGCAGCAAGCTGTAGACACCAACTGTGGGCCTTTAAAGCGTGTCTAGGTAAGGTATCCTCCATCTTTCCCACTGTGATAGTCACATTAGAGGGAAGCCACATAGAAGTTCAGAGCATTGGGCCTGAGACCCTGCCTTGTAGGCCATGGACAGGTAGGCTCATCTCCCTGAGCCTCTGTTTGCTCATGTGGGAAGCAGGGATAACAGTTAAGGTTTCACAGGAAGCAATGGGTGCGCAAATGCTGTATAGACCCCTCTGGGAATTGTAGTTCTCTTCAGTGCCCCAACTAACCAGGCAGAGCCAGCAGAGAGGTGACTCCTGCCTAGAGTGAGAGCAGGTCCTGGCATAAGCCAGTTCTTTCCCACTCACAGTCATACAAGGGCGGTACTGGAAGCAGTTGGCTGTCTGGTCAGCCATCATGAGGCAGAGGACAAGCTGCAGAATCCATGTGGCTGATACCCCTGGCCTTAGTGCCACAGCTAAACTCCATCCCCATGTCCACAGCAGGTCCTGTGCTGATCCACACTGTTCTGAATTCACAGTGACACAGTGGGTCCAGGGTTTTTGCAGCCATTTTACAAGTGATAAATCTCAGACTGGTGGCTTTCCTTGTCATTGTCACTCAGGAATGAACATTCACCCACCTCAGAGCTGGTGTGATTTCCTAAGTAATAGAATCACTCAAAGTAAGATGGGGGCACCTTTTATGCCTGGCTGTCTCTGGTATCTACCTTCTGGGATGTAAGCACGTGTGTCCCCATGGATGGTTACTCACCAATTCCCTTCATAGCTTTGTAGAGGGTCTCTGCATCTGGGTCTGGATTGAAATGAGAACTACCCTTCACAGTGATGCCCTCCTGTTCAACCTGCAAGACAAGCAGCCTGCTCGTGGGAAGTACAGGAAGGACAGGGCGGCCTACTGTGTAGCCCATCCTGGTAGGCTAAGGATGTTCCCTGGGCACTGAGACCTAATGGAACCTTGCAAGGCAGTGGCTGAGCTCTCCGGCCCCTTAGCCAATAGACTGTTGCAGCTGGAACCAGCGCTTGTAAAAAGAAACTACCTGTTGGATGAGAGCAGGTAGCAGACTGGTCACACACAGCTCTCTCCAGCCCTGTGCACAGCAGGTTGGGTCAGGGTGAGTTCGTAAGGAATGGCTTCTAAAAGCTGAGAGGCTTGCCTAGGGAACGGGAAGCTAGACATGGTTTTCTGTTTGCAAGGAAGGCTCTAAGCTTATCCTGGCCTTTCCTGTGGTGAGGTGTGGGTGTTTCAGAGGGCCAGGGACCAAACGGAGCGTCTCCAAAGCTCAGGTGGTTTGCAAGACCATGGGATCATATAGGGTAGAAAGAACTGCAGGATTTTCCATGGATTATGGGGTAAATTTGATAACCAAAGTACCCACATCCTTATTTTACAAGCTTCCGATCCAAGGCATGAGCAGGGGTCATTTATGTGTGTGCTCTGCATAATTTATCAGATGCTCAAGATGGATGACCCTTCCAAAGTGTGGGTTTTAGGGAAAGGGGTGGTAAAGAGTGGAAGGAATTAAGGATAGGAATTGAATGAGGGAGCCCCAGGTCCTTCAGATGAAGAGAAGTTTAGTCAAATCCATTGAGGTCACTAGCTCACCTGTTCACCCAGCACTTCCATTGTTCCCCACCCACCCATCTGCTTTCCTGCTTGCTCACTTACCTGTTCACCAATTCTCTGACCAAGCCCTACAACCCTGATACCTCCCTTCCTTCGCTTTTCCTTCCTCCCCGCTTCCTTCGTTTTTCCTTCTCCTTCCCACTCCTTTTCTTTCCCTCCCCGCTCCCTTCCCATTTTCTTCATTTTTTATCAAGCTTCCTCCACCCATCTCTCCTTTTCTCCCCATACTGTCTGTCCATCCTTCCACCCAAGCCTTAGGTGAGATCCTGAAAATACAGAACAAGTTCCCACCTGTTCTGTCTCCTCAAGGGTTCTTTCTCTGAGTAAGAAACAAGATATCTCTCTGTATCCTTTGCTTGGTTCTCACATGAACAGAAATAGATCTTCCTGTCCCATCCATTGCACCATGTTTTATGACAGGAACTATTAGAAATAATTCCTGGGGAAAAGTTCTCCAGTGAGCCAGATGTTGCCTCACTGTGTACACATGAGTATTCCTTGTTTCTGAGGTCACGTGCTGCTACTGCTAGAAGGCTATTTGAACATCCCCTCTGTAAAGTGTGTTTAGCTGGACAGGGTGTTCAGCTTTCCCAGTAGTTGTATTAGGCGCTAATGCTCCATTTTTACAGGCGAGGTGGCTGGGCTTCACCCACAGCCTGACTCAACCTGAGCTCTGTCTACCTCCCCACTCCGCAGATGATTCACTCTTCCCCAGACACTGGGTTTTCTTGGAATGTTTCACTGCAGAGAGCCTCACCCATAGGCATGCTTGTCTTCTGGGAGTGTGGGGGTAGGGAGCATCTAAGTTCTTACTTTGTAGTTTTCCTGCTCCAAATTGGCCTCAGAAATCTAGTCATTGAGGAGTGTCCCCATACCATTCAGGGCCCAGTATTTGTCAGGGCTGCCTCAGATAACATGCTGAGAAGAAGTCTGTCTCTCTTCCTTTGCTAAGGTTCTATAGAAAGAGAAAGCCAAAGACCGGATACTGCCTGGAGTGGAGAACCTGGAGGTAGCTATGCCAGCCCCTGTAGGTCAGTCTCAAGCTCCTGATGAAACTACCCTGAGGCTGGTGAGTCCAGGCAGACAAGTTTCGAGGCAAAAGGCAATTCAGGTAGTCCAGGATGCTATGACTAGAATACCTGTCATGGGCACGCAGGAGCTGCCATACTTTTGCCAGATCTGTTCAAAGGCTGCCTCCTCAAGGGGGCCATAAAGCGGAGACTTGTTCTGAAGTCTGGTTCTCTCTGGCCACTCCTCCATTCCCATCCATCCTATTCCCAACCCAGCTTTGAACTCAGAAGGCATTTGGTTCTCACTGGCAGCCTGGACAGACACAGAGGCCTTGTTGCCCCTAGTCAGCTTGTCCATGGGTCAATGGCCTTGGATGACAGAGTCTGCATCTGGTCTCAGGCTGCCCAGACCTAAATATTACTAGTGTGGCAACTGTGGTGCCTGTCTGCTCTATCTGAGTCTCAGCTTCCTCCCTTATGTGTAAAACTGTTGATATCTGTCTTATAGACTTGCTGTGAGGTTCCAATGACACTGAACAAGAGATGCCGATTGGAGTGTCCCCATATAGAAGGTGCTGAGAGTTCCAGCATCAGGCTGTCAATTTGATCAGGTTCCCAAGAGGATGGCCCTTACCCCTGCACTATGGAGGACTATTTTGGCTAGCACCTGAGTTTAGGAACTGCCCACCACTGAGCGCTCCCTGCTGCACACACCTGCATGAAGCATGTTCCCACCAGCTGCTGTGAAGCTGCAGACAGCCACTGTTCTGGCTGCTTTCCCCAGGGTCAGGATGACAGCTCATCTCTCTGCCTTGTCGTCTGTTCACCCTGTTCAGAGCCCAGGGCATTTACACCTCAAGCTTTTCTCTGGATGGCAACACAGCAACAAAGATTTTCCTGAAGCTGGACAAGCTTCATTCTTCAGCCTACAAGGAGCCTGGGGGCTGCTACAGAGACTCAGGCTTTCTCTGGTCTATGCTTGCTATCCTAGGGCTCTGAACAAGCTTCCTGAGGTCCCAGAGCCTCCCTCAGCTCCCTCACTTTCTCCCTGAAAATGCCCCAGCTGAGAGGAGGATGGTGAGTAGTCCATGCAGCCCTGTCCCCGACATACATGGCTCCTGTGAGCTAGGTCCCGCTCCTCCCAGTTTTGACAAGTAAGCACAGTGTTCTCTGCTACCAGTCTGTTCCCTTTAATACCTGTGCTGTGGGTGTTGATGGGTTCCTTCAAAGGTGGTGTGTTCACCCAGAGTATTCTCTAGCTGAAAGTACACCAGCGGCTCCTATTGCTCAAAAGTTAAGCTCCAACCTGTTATTTAAGGCCCTTGGTGCTCCATCTTGGCTGCTTTTCCAGATCCAACCTACTCAGGATTCAAACCACACAAAGTAATTTTTCTTGAACGCCAACCTCCTGGGCCCTTCACATAATGCTACTTCTGCAAGAGCAGCCTGCTGGACGTTCTCCAAGCACAAACTTACCTGTTGCACAAATCCACAGAAGTGCTTCTTGTCATAAGTGGCCTTTTTCCTACAGAAGGCTTTCTCTGTCTTTGCTAATCGTTTAGTTTCCCCTTTGCATTTCATTTTTTTAAATTGTTTTATTTTAAATTGTCTTTTTTTCACAACCCTACAGTGACTTTTCTAACCATGCACAGTTCCCCCCCACCCAGCTTCCTCACCAGGACTTGGCCTAACAGGTTCAGTCTTTACATTATCTTTGCCTACCATCCAACTTGGTTCAAGGACCCATCTCCCCAGACCATTACCACTTACCCAGGCTTTCCACCAGGCCATCCTGTCTGCCTCAAAGCTACTCTTCCCAGGGAGACAAAGAATCAGCCTCTACTCAGTGACTAGCTACATCTACTCCCAGGCTAGGGGGTGTGGTTGTGTACACAGGCCCAGGCCCCACCCCAAACTCCCTCCCTGCCACCTCAGGCTCTTCTTGGCTCTCAGCCTTTCGGAGTCTCCAGACCCCACCCAGGCACTGCCTGGGCCTGCCCTGAGGATCACACCACTTGATGCAAATGTTTGGGCTGTGGCTGTAACACAGCTTGGAAACTCTGAGGTAGCCTTTGAAAAGCAACTTAGTAAACATGTCTGTAGCTTCTTGCAAGTTGGCTAGACCAACTTTTTCAATCAGAGAAAAAAGGAAAAGTATACCAGCCCTTCCACGTATTGCCATGTCTACATAACAGTGCAGTGAGTTCAGCAAAGGACAAGGAAACAGCATTCATGGGGGCGCACTGTGTCTGAACACCTCTTTAACCACTTTGTAGCGTTGGATGCCTGAGACATTATTGCAGTCCTAGTAAGCAGGATGTGCCAGTTGCCAGGGGGAAGGACATTCCTAATGAGCTCTCAAGGAGCTCATTTTGGGGATTTTCCTACTCTTCTTTAGAATGTTCCTCAGCACAGCTCTTGGTATACCACCCTTTAACTTAGCTAGCTCCTACCTACCCTTCAGCATGAAGTTGCTGCCTCTAGGAGCCTCACCCAGTGCCAGGAAGGCTCCTAAAGCTACCAGTCCTCATGAAAACAGTTCCATAGTGACTTTTCAAATCCAAGGAAACCTTGCAGAATGCCTTTTAAAATGGTCCCATGATGAGAAGTGTTCAAGGTTCCCACCACTGGCTGCAGTGCTCTTTGTTCTGGAAAGTCTGCAGCCTGCTTCTTCTTGTGGATGGGTAGCGCTGGATCCTGGCTGACAAGTAAAGGGGAGGAAGGCAGCTATGCCCTGGAAAGGCAGCTACTTCCCAGAGCTGTTGGGGAAACTGAAGAGCCATTGAGTAACAGCGCTGTGAGATGTCATGAAAGGAAGAAGGCTCCAGTTGCCTCTGCACACAGAGTGATAGAAGGCCATTCCGGGCTTTTGGGAGCTTGGATTTCCTGAATTTTTAGGGCTGGTGTATTATTCATGCTTGTGTGTATTGAAATGTTTCCATAAATGTGAGTTTCTAGAGCCAGTGATTCTGGAACAGGGAGGGTCTGGCCAAAGTCTGGTAGTTCAGATGACTGAGATGGGTCCCCTGAAGAATTAGCAATGTTGAGGGCCCTTGGAAAGCCCAGGAGAAATGCCAGCCTCTGTAAGGACTCTGGGTTCAACCATCTCATTCATTCATCATCTATTAAGCTTCATGCCACCATGTGCCTTTGGCATGATATAACACCCCCATATCTACCCAATGTGTGCTCACATTTTTCCTTCACTAAACAATAGAGTCACACAGAACTTGAGATATTAAGTGACTAAATGGGTCCTCATAGAGGAATTCATTGTACCCTGTACTTCTCACCATTTATCTGACCATGGGAGGATCACACAAAAAATGAGGATGACAGAAACTTGCCTAGGATCTGGGCGTGCTCAACACCCAGGCCCTAATCCAGCTGAGTGCAGTGGGTCCCCAGATCTTAGTATATGTGGCATTCATATTTCAAAGTTCAGAGTGATGTTTTGGGTTGCATGTTAGGTTCTGTGCTGAGTACATAATACAGACTGTGAGCCTCCAGTCCTGAAAGGAGCACAAATAACCCTTCACATTAGAAGGGAAAGCATAGAGGAAAACAGAATTTAGTTTGAGTGAAGGGCAGGAAGTCTCTTTAGCCTGGGACCTGAGGTACTAGGAAACGCTGCTCAGGAAAAAGGATTTTCCACTGGGTCATGCAGTGTCACAGAGCTAGCTAAGCAGAAGGGGGTCAAAGGAGACCTTGGCACAGTGCTTGTGTAGGGATGGAGCATGTGTGCAACGGGTCAGAACATGTGAGTATACAGAGATGGAGCTTGTGCCTCACAGCTCGTTCTTATTTACATAAATGCCAAACAAAGGAGGGATGGGCATGTACAAGCTTGTAGTTTGAAAGGGAGTGGCCTGTTGCAGTTGAAAATGGCCAAGGAATGGGGAGGGAGAAAGCAGGTGAGGTTTGGGACTGGGTGAGACTCACAGACTAACAAAGGCTATCTGGGGTGATGAGCTTACAGAGTAGGGTACAACGAGGACTCCTCCCAGAAGTATTTTCAGGTCCCACCTGACTGGTGGGAAATTCAGGGTACTGGTAAGAAGTGCATGACACAATCTGTTCTTTTGTGAGGGTCTGGTTCAGGGTACTTAGGTGATCTGCCAAAGTGAGGATGATGGTAGCTTAAATGAGATGAAGGAAGATCAGGCTGAAGAGGGGTAAAGGCAGAGGTTGGAACAGTCATGTTGTATAAGTGAAACTGCCCAGCCCTAGTGTTGGTTAGGGTTGGCTTAGATTTTTCACCCATCTGACTTTATTTAGGGTTCTTAAGCACTTCTACCTCCCTTCCACCCACTGACCAGAGATAGGGGAGAAAGAAGGTTATTAGGTAAAGGGAGTTGTAGACCTTTTTAGAAGTAGTTCTTTAGGATGATACCAGCAGTCCAGTCCAAAGGCCAACACTGTTAGTATTTAGGCAGCCTGTTTCCGGGTTGCCTAGCAACCTTTGATGTCATCATGTGTCTCCATCCAGGTAGCCACACCTGGCAGGTATAGTTGACCTGCTCCATAAAAAGGCTCAACCCGCTACTTTGTCTCTCTCTTGCCTTCTTGCTCTTGCACACTCTTCCTCTCTCCTGCTCTTCCCCTCTCTCTATCGGGCCACCCTCCCCCACCATGTCTTTCTCTCCCTCTTCTGCTTCTTCTTCTCTCTCTCTCCCACCTTGCCCAGAGAGAGTCTCTGTGACCTCCTCCCCTTCCCTTAATAAAACCTTGAATGCCAGTTGCACAGTGTGATTTATGAATCTGCTGTATAACTCTGCTGCACAATCCTAACAAACACCAAGCAGCCACACAAATCAGCACGATTCAGAAGATTGGGACAGGTCAGTGAAAGCCACAAGACTGTTGGATGGCCCTGAGAAGTTCTCTGGAATGTTTCTCTCTGTCAAGTATGAAGATCAGCGCTGTGATGTTGATCCAAAAATCGACATCTCACTGTCTATCCTCTCCTCTGTGTCCACCCATGGATGTTCTCAGCTGGCCAAGGCCATGCTCCTTGCATGAGAGAGCTCACAGCGAAACACCACATGCCCCCTCACAGGACAGTTTCTAGCAAAACATCACATAACCCAACTGAATCTTCAAAGAAACCAGAAGCTCCCACTTCAGGTTAGAGATAAGTGACCCAGCATGTCAGATTCGAGGGAACATCTATGTGGTCTCAGAACATAGGCTCATGTAGAGGCCCAGCCCCCGTGTCTCCCAAGTGGTGGGACAACTCACTGCCTCTGTCCAGCCTGCCTGTTAGCCTCCACCCACCCCAGGCCTTCTGCGGTCTAAACCCTCTGGATCTCTAGCAGGCTCCACCATGGATTTTTCCACTGTTGGCTCTGCCCAGCAAGGCAGTGTGCCCAGCTTGTGGGTTTGTTTATCCTGCTCTGGCGTCTTCCTGTCACCTTTGGCCACAGAGAGCTGTCATACACTGGGGCCTCTCATCTGCTCTCCAGATGCCACTGTCCCCCACAGCCTATCTCCTGGGCCATGTTAGGGGCCAGTCATCCCTTTTTTAGCTCCATCTAGCCATTTTACATTTCTAATTCCATTTGCTTTCAAAACACTGCTTTCATTCTTTTCAAACTCCTCCTTTTCCAGATTGTTCTATTTTCCCTCCTTTCTTGGCTTCTCATCACTTCCTTAAACAGAAATACCACTGCTTTTAAAACTGTAATATCTGAGGGTGGTAACACACGCTTAAGTTATCATTAAATGATTCAGTAACATGGGAGGGAAAGAGGGAAGAAGGGAGAGAAGAAGGAAATAAAGAAAAAAATCTAAACACTGTACTAACGTATGACCAGCACGAGATTTTAATCCCTTTGCTTCTTGTATCTTGTTTCTTGATTCTCCTTGTTTAGATGCTGAGGATTTCCAACTCCTGAATTCTCTTCTGAAAAAACAAAAACAAAAACAAAAACAAAAAACAAAAATCAAACCAAAAAAAAAAAAAAAATCTCCCACAGAGCGCTAGGATTCTGGGTGGACGAAGGGGCTCCGGAGGGAGTTTTGCTGGAACCCGTTAAACTCCATCAGCTGCAGTGGGCTTTAATGTTCATGTCTCACTGCAGACTTGGAGCAGAGATTCCCCCTCAGTGTCCATCTGAGGCCTTCTGAGCTATGTCATGAAGAGGAATGAGGTTTTTGGTTCTGTTTCAGGAAGTTGGGTTTGGGGTAGGATTAGCCCTCTCTAGCTCCAGCTTTTTGGGCATACATATTACAATTCTAAAGCCTGGAAGGAAGCATTTTATCCCTTTAGACAAAAGCCTTGTCCTTTTTTAATTTTTATTTTTTGAGACAGAGTCTTTCTACCAAGCCATGGCTGTCTTGGAACTCATTTGTAGGCCACCCTGGCCTGGGACTCACAGAGATCCACCTGTGTCTGCCTCCTTCGTGCTAGGCTTAAAGGTGTAAACCACCACACCTGGCCCATCCTTAGTTCTTTAAGCAATCATTCAATAATTTGGATTTAAGTTTCTTTCATTATAATATTCCTTACAAATTTTCTGACATTTGGAAAATTGATCTTTTGCTTTCAGCTAATTCTGCATTGGTGAGTTGTACTCAGCATCGAGGCTTTGGCTAAGCTGGTAAGCATCAGGCTATGTTAGTGGTTGGTAGACAAACATCTCTGGTGTTTGTTTTCCACTGGTGGCCTTCAGTAGCCCAGGACAGGCACAGAATAGGCAAACAATTGCCTCCATCCATCTGGATCTGAAGTTTTAACCTGATCACGGACACAAGAAAATGAACCACAAACCAGGTGTGGTGACTCAGATCTACAAGCTCAACACTCAGAAAGATGAGACAGCAGGGTAGCCTGG